TGTGCGAGTCGTAATTTAGAATCAAATTATATTTTTCAAATTATAGGCGTTATCAATTTTAAAATCAAAAGTATTTACCGAAATGCATTTTTATATAAGCATGACACGTAAGCAAAATTATAACTCATGAGATCGCGACATGTATTTAATATTGATCAAATGATGAAAATAAATTAAGAAAAATAAGATTTGAAATGGAAAGTAGTTGTCAAGTTACTAATCAAATAATAAAAAGTAAAAATTCTAATACTATCTATACTAATTAAGAAACAAAATTTAAGATGAAATATAGACATTACATAAACCATAAAAAAACAAATAATACATACAGAATGAAAATATCAATTAAAATAATTAAAAATACGAATGATAAAAAGGTTATATAAATTGGAAAAACAAAAGTAAGAAAGATTATAGAAAACTCAATTTAAAAATTTAAAGATATACACAACCATGCAAATATAAAATAATAAAAGAATCTATAAAAATACTTATTCTATCAATATAGAGCTATAGAATATCACAAAAATGGAAAAATTTGACCTATGACGCCATTGGTATTCTCCAAGTGTATATATTGAAAATTATACTCCTTCTGTTTCAAAATATAAGATGTTTTAGCTAAAAACACGGAGATTAAAAAATTACATTTTCTTCACAAAGTATCATTTAATATATATAAAACAAAAACAATTTCATCAATTATAAATAAAACTGCATAATACTACTGGTTGCACAATATTCAGTAAAGTAAAAAAGTACATAGGATTGTCAAAACATCTTATATTTTGAAACAAAAAAATAACCTCAAAAACATCTTTTACTATGAAACGAAGGGAGTATAAGTTAAAAAATAATAATATTATATTTACTATGAAGTTAATATTGTATAAAGTTTGGCAAGTATAAGCCTTTATGAGAAATAAAACGATGACATTAACAAAATACAATTATCAATCATGTATTCATGTAATGGTTCACAATACTATTTGTAGTTTTTTATGAGGTAACTAGCATAAG